AACTGGGGAATATTCACGCCCCATGGTGCCGTGGCCTTCGAAAGGTTCCATTGGGGCACTCGCGCACTCGCATGCATATTATGTTCGGGATATGTAGCACGCGCCCAAACATGTAAATGACTAGGTCACGGATCCGTGCTCGAGCGTTAACGTAGACGCAAGCGGCCAGCGAGACTCGGGGGTGCTGGCCAACGGCACCGAGTGCGCGCGCTCGCGCGTGAGAAAGTCGGCCGCGCCACGTCACTACTCCATGTCTCGAGGCACGCGCGCAGAAGACCCCAAAGAGGAGGGGGGCCCAGGAGGGGGGGGGCGAGTGTGATGTGAGAGGGGCGAGAGGATGCCTTTCAGTCGAACTCGCATCAACTAGTTGAGAACCGTATGGAGCATGGTGCTGACGAGACTGGCGTTCGAACAGAAGTTGTTGAAAGTTGGCCGCGCCATACTGTCTCGAAGTATGCGTGGAGAGATTCACGAAAGGAGAGCTCAGGAGGCACAGGACGAGTAGGAATGAGAGATGAGAGGGGAAGCAGCCTGTCAGTCGAAGTCGCATCAACTTATTGAGAACCTTCTGGGCCAATGTGCAGATGTGAACTCTATCCAAAAGGCAAGTGTATTGAGTTGAAGGCTGGCGGGCGCCCGCGTTTCCCTTTTTGAATCAGCCTAGCGGTTGTTCAGAACGCGATGGTTCAGAAATTCAAGTTCGGAGTAGTGCCCAAAACACAATTAATGTAGCTTGGCCCAGATCCATCGCCCGCGGTACTCTAGCCGCTTTTGCTCGACAGCAGCTTTGCACACATCTATACTGGGTTCTCTGGTATCGTCTGTGCGATGGCGGCGCGCATGGCGGCCGTGAAAGTCTTGACGGAGGGCCGCCCTTCGTCGTCAGCGGCTGGAGTGCCGCAGCCGATGGATCTGGAGGCCGGTTTGGAAAAGCCTGCTCGCCCGCAATGCGCCCGTGATCGATTGAGGGGGGGTTGCCGATGGTGGATGCGATGCGACTCGCATCCACCAGCAACCCCGCCCCCTCGATCAAGTCGGCGCATACGCGAGATCAGAGGTTTCCCAAACCAGTCGATATGCCAGGCGACCCCGCCACAGCACGACGGCGGAGCTGGTTTGAGGAAGTGCTTGATTAGCAGATGGAAGGAGGGGAAGATGACCTCCAAGGATCGACGGTTGAACCACCCACCCCCCGAATTCAGAACCACTCGAATGGGGGAGGGCCGTGGGGTTCCGAAGAGCAGGGGGGAGAGGAATCAGGAGAGGTGAAAGTGGAAAAGAACATGCTGAATGGAAACCGTGGCCTCCTGAGGCCGTTGTTCCACCGTGTGTGGGGGGGGGGGGGGGGTCGTTCAACCATCTAGGACGTCTGCGCGGTAGCGTTTCACGCGATGAGGTCTGGCGGCACAGGCGTTGGGGATTTGGCACTGGACCCCGACTCGGGCCACCACACTGCTCACATCAGAAAGGCATTGAACCTGTCGACCCGCGAGAAGATTTACAGCACGCCCATTCCAATTTGGGACAAAGAGACGGACTCGCGAAAGGAAATTGATCTGCCGTTTTTGCTGCCCCACGAGACCTTTGCAGAGAGCTACGCAGCAAATCCAGAAGACTTCAACTTGCAAAGCCTCAGCCCTGATGAAATTCCCCAGCAATTCTATGACCACCCCATCACGGTTGAACATGGAGGCCTTTCTTACCCGATTGGTTTCTACAGCGACGGGGTGCCGACCTCGAAAAAGGATACGTTCCTACTGTTCTACTGGAGCAACATCAAGACACAGGTTCGGCACAAAATCACAGCAATCAGAAAAGTGACTGCTGCATCTGCGGATGCAAGGGCGCTTGCACTCTGGGGGCCATAATGCGATGCATTGTATGGTCCCTCAATATCCTCGCCTCTGGTGTCTATTCTTCGTGCGACCACAACAATCAGCCGTTTGTCAACGAGGATCGTGAATTGAGGCGGGGAATGGAATTGGCAAACGGTCTTCGTGGGGCGCTGTGCGAATACAGAGCAGATCTGTTAGAATTCCAGCAAGCCTTAGGGATGAAACGCTGGGGCAACGCGGAGGCACCATGTTTTTTCTGCAATGTCAAGAAAACGGATTTACATAATTACCCTCGGTCACGTGCCGATTGCACATGGAGGGAAAAAGATGCCGCGATGTATAATGAAATGGTGTCGGCTTGCACTAAGACAGTGACCATCACAAGCAAAAACCAGCTGGACAAACTTTTAGCATGTATGAGACACGATCCCGACATCGGAGGGTTCGGACTTTGGAAAGCATGCCCAGAACTGCACTTAACCACAGGTTGGCGCTTGGTGCAGACGGGTCCTGTGACGGACACGTACAAAGTTGCTGACATTCAATGCTCTGTGGCGGAGCCGGCTACACTGACATTTTTTGATTCGTCTAACCAGATCGGCCTCAATTTCATCGCCCCGATTTTCGGTGTGGTGGGGTTTACCATAGCAATGCTCGCCCTGGACATAATGCATGTTGTCGACCTGGGGGTTGGTCAATACCTCTGCGGAGCCATCCTGAGTATTCTCATAGAGAACAATTTTGCAGGCAGCAGGGCCAGAACACTTCTCATCCGACGTAAAGATAACCTTGTGGAGCTGAGGAGGCGCATTCGCGCGTATTATATCGCCAACCAAGTGATGCTCAGGCGGGGCCAGATGAGCCAGATCTTCAGGCTATCTTTAAAGATGCTCGGTCCTCCCCACGATCCCCGTCTGCGCGCAAAGGCGGCGGAAACACGACAGCTTGTAGGCCTTTTGCCCCAACTGTGTCACGAGAACAGGCATCTGTTTACAGGGCTCGCTGTGTATTTGCCCCACTGTTGTGTACCGCTGAAGCGCTTCCAAGACATAGTTTCTGTACACCCTCGGCAAATGACGCCTGCTGCCCAACAGGATTTAGAGAATTGTGTCTTTGCTTTTGTTCACTTTTGGAAGCGTTCTGGTGGACACACGGTGTTTAAACATCATGTGTTCGTCCACCTCGCCCTCCGGGCGAGGGTGATGGGCAACCCTCGGAGGTACTGGACTTACTTGGACGAATCCGAGAATAGGGCGATGGCAGCCATCGCCAAGTCGTTACACCACGGCTCCAAATTTTATTTCAGTTTCCTAGAGAAGGTCGTGTGAGCTGCGCCGACGGGGCACCCGAAAAACGCCTGCCAGACCTCATCGATCGTCGGGGGGGGACGAGGGAACGGAAGAAGCGAGCAGCAGGGAGCGCGCCTCCTCACTTGGCTTTTCCTTGCCCTCCTCTTCCCTTTTCCCACTCCCTCCCCCTGCCCGCCCCCCCCCACCCTCCCCTCTTTTCACCCTATCCGCCCCACAGGGAGGACCGTTGAGCAGGGAGGTCGGTCCTGCGCCTTCGTGCAGGAAGAGGCAGGAAGAGCCTGCTCAGACATGCGATTTGCCCCCTCAACGTCCCTCTTCGTCGTCGTCGTCGTCCTCCCCCTCCTCCTCCTCCTCCTCCTCCTCCTCCTCCTCCTGCTCCTGCTCCTCCTCCTCCACCTCCTCCTTGCCACAGGAGGGAACAATCGCAGCGCAGAGCGGTGCCAGATCCTGCGCCGCGCGCACGTGCTCAGGCATGTGCCTCCTCCTCCTCCTCCTCCTCCTTGCCACAGGAGGGAACAATCGCAGCGCAGAGGGGTGCCAGCTCCTGCGCCGCGCGCTTGCTCAGGCATGTGCGTTGCCCCCCTGAACTTCCTCCTCCTTCCTCCTCCTCCTCCTCCTCCTCCTTTCCTTTCCCCTCCTGCTCCTCCTCCTCCTCTCCTCCCTCCTCCTCCTTCCTCCTCCTCCCTTCTCCCTCTCTCCTCTCCCCTCCTCCTCCTTCCTCCTCCCTCCCTCCCCTCCCCTCCTCGTCCTCCTCCTCCTCCTCTTCTCCTCGTTCATTCCTCGTCCTGACTCGTCCTCCTCCTCTCTTCCTCCTCCTCCTCCTCCTCCTCCTCCTCCTCCTCCTCCTCCTCCTCTTCGGGCACGTCGATGGCCCAGCTTTGGGAGTGGCCTGGGGCCCCCCCTCTCTCGAGACCCTCCGCGGCCGACGCGGTTGTCCTCCCAGGACGTCCAGGACGTCCTGTCGAGCCCGCTACTGGGCTCGACCCAGAGGTGTGCCTTGGGAGGCGCCTGTGGGCGAGGGGGAGCGGGCGCCATGGTGGGCCCCGCGGGGTGCATGTTCCCTCGGGTCGACCGCCTGCCCGTGTGGGTGTGGCAGGCGTCCGATCGCTGGCCGCTCCAACGCGTGTACATCGCGGTCGTGGCCACGGCCGTGCTGCCTCCAGGGTCCCTTGCAGTTTCGTGCAATAGTATGTGCTATGCTAACATAGCGTATGCGCGCGCCGCCCCTATGTATATGGTGCACGTGGTACGACGTCCGCTACGAAGGCGACGGCCGTTTCGTGCTGTGCGCGCGGCGCCGATCGCTAAATGTCCTCCTCGATCGACATCCTCCTCTTCTTCCTCCTCTTCTTCCTCCTCCTCCTCGGTCCTCCTCATCGCCGCGTGGCTCGAGTACGCGATCGATCGTTTGGTAGCGGAGCTAGCTATGCCCCGACTTACGGGCGCTTGGACGATCCCGACGTGGCATGGATATCGTAGGAAGGCTGCACAGCGCTCTCCGCTGCTGCCAATATCGATATCGGACCCGATCTTCGCCTGTCCCAATTTGTTGCTCATGTCTTAATTTTTTCTGACGGCGCAATTAAAAATTGAGCCGCTTCCGAACGTCTCAATTTAATTGGGACGCGAAGATGACAGGGTTAGTATCATGGGCGACCTCGACATCGTGGTTCGCTGGGTACCCTCGGAACTAAATCCCGCCGACCGGCCGTCCCGAATGCCGGGTCAGATTGTCCAGGACCCCCGACTCGATCGACGACATGCTGCGTTTCGACTCCAGGGTGCCTCCGTTGATGCCGGGACTGTTCCTGGACGGGTATATGTTCCTCCTGGCCTGGATGCTGACGTAGCCAAGGCTCGGCTCAAGGACGCGATCGAGGATCTCGCTCTCGGCACCTCCGGCTGCGCGAGTCATGGAGGTCAGGAGCGGGCGGCTGGTCCGGCCGACCTCGAGAGGGGCTTCCAGGCCTTCCACCCCGGCGAACGGGGAAGTGACGGGGGGCCGCCTGATGAGGCCTCGTTCTCCCTGAGCAGCTCAGACGAGGGTCTCATTGATCCGTGGCCCGGGCTCGCCTCCACGGACGTCGAGCCCGACAGCTTGGACGACGGCCTCGTCGATCCGTGGACGGGCCTCGGCTTCCGCGACGTCCCGCCGGTCACCCCCTCAGACGAGTCGCTCTGTGAATTTTCGAGTGGCCCAACGAAGGGTGGCAAGGCGCGCGGCGAACGCGCTGCTGGGCGACCTGGAGCCGAGCCACCTCACCTTCCTGCAGGCCCACCGCGTCAGGAAGGGGACCGCCCGGCACCTGACGAAGGAGTGGGAGGAATTCCAGCAGTGGTGCTTGGAGCGGGGGCTGCCCGTCGAGCTGGGCGACACGCTGGATTGGGCCGCGGCCCTGTACGCGGACTGGCTCTACTTCGCGGGCTACAACCACGAGCGCGGCGACAAGATGCTGGCGTCCATCGGCTGGCACGACCCTCAGGCTGTTCGGCACGGGCCAAGAGATCCGGTCCGGCTTCGGGCGGCCCTGAAGGGGTTTCGCCGGCTGGCCAGAGGGTGCTCTCGCACCCCCATGCCGGAGCCGCTGCTGTTCGCGATCATCGGCGTCAGCCTCCACTTCGCCCCGCTGGAGTTCAGCCTCGCTCTCGCGATCGCGCGGGACGGGGCGCTGCGGGCCCCGGTCGACCTGATGAGCATGACCGGCCGCAGCCTCGTGCCACCTGCGAGCGGAAGCCCCAACGGCTGCTGGGGCCTCCTCCTGTACCCAGAGGAGGGAACGGGCCGCAGCAGGGTGGGCGGCCACGACGAAGGCATGCTCCTGGACTCCGCGGCGGCGCTGTCCATCGGCGGGGTGCTGCGGCGGCTCAATAAGGCCCAGACCGCGGACGACAGCGAGGTCTGGGGCTTCTCGGCGCACCAGTTCTCGCAGCGGTTCAAGGCCGCAGCCGAGGCCATCGGTTGGCCGCGGCTCCACCCGTGCCAGATCCGCCACGGGTCGGCGAGTCACGACATCTTCCACTGACGGCGGACGCTGCCAGAAGTCCAAGAGCGGCTTCGCCGCGCCGCCGTCGCCAGCGCGGCCCGCTACCAGAAACACACCCGTTACTTGGCCGAGCTCGGGAAGGTGTCGCGCGAGCTCAGGGACTTCGCGAGCGACGTGGAGACCCACTTCAGCGGGCTCGTGACCGGTCGAAGGCCCCCACCGACCTGGGCCGCCGCCCCCAAGCGTCGGCGCGTCCAGCGGGGCGAGGCTCCGCTCTGAAGGGGGGCCTGGCGCGGCGCGACGGCGACGTGGTCGCGCGCGTCAATCGCATCAGCGGGCCAGCCGTCCGACGCCTGATGTCCAGGATCTTGCGCGAGGAACTGTCCCGAGGGCTCCGCCGCTCACAGGTATTTTTGGACGTCTTCTCTGGTGCTGGGAAGGTTGCCAATTCAATTCGTCGTATTTCAGATTTTGGTTGTATCCCCATTGATCTCGAAGATTCTGCGGCCATGGATATGACAGACCCTAATTTGATCAAAAACCTGGTTGGGTGGATCAGCAGCCGAATGGTTAGAGGAGTCATGATCGCTTTCCCTTGTGCGACGTGGTCGATGGCCTCTCATTTTCTTCATCGTAACCTTGAGTTCTTGGGCGGTCGGCCGGGCTTGACTCCGGCGCAGCAGGCGAAAGTGGATGCGGGCAACGCCGCCTTCCGCGGGATGTTGCTCCTCTTGGCCGCTTGCTTGCGCGCTGGGGTCCCAGTGCTATTGGAGAACCCGGCATCGTCTATGGCTCGGTCTCATCCCGCCTTGTCTCCCTTGTTGGCGAGGCCGAGCTGCAGGACCTCAATCGTTGACATTTGCGCCTTCGGCAGCCCATGGAGGAAGCCAACCAAGCTTGTGGGCTGGAACGTTCGGCTGCCCCTGCCTTCCATGTCCCGTCGGTGCCAGGGGCCATGCGGCTTGTGCAGTTTCACTCACATGCGACACGTCGAACTTCAAGGCAAGATTCCAGGTGCAAGCATCTGTCGGTCACGTCTGGCGGAGACCTACCCCTCGCGCTTCGCTCTGGGCCTCGCCAAGTGGTTGGTGCAGTCTGCGGATGCGCTTGAACATGAGAGAATGTTGGCTGTTGTTTCGAGATGATCATGGGCGGCTGCCAGGGCATCCAGAATGGAAATGGGCGCGCGCTTGGCGCTAAGTTGTTGTGCACGACCGTCGAGCCCAGCCCTTCCGTTCCACGCAGAGTGAAAGAGATGTGAAAAAGGTGAAGGCTCTTGGGGGCCCCTGAGGCCCTGTGGCTCGGACCCTTCTGGTCTGAGCCCCTCTTTCAGTCTCTGTTGGTAGAGAGCTTACGTGCATAAATTAGCTTTCCAAACGGTGTTGCACAACTGCAAGGTGGCCTCTGCGCGGCGAATTCACGAGCACGTCCGCGCCGTCGCCGTGCTCGGCTCAAGCTCTTCCTCCTCCGCCTCTCCTCCCCCGCGTCTCATTGTGTGTCTTGCTTGGTATTTCTGTGCGCGCGCCTCCTACTGGTGGCCGTCATCCGACGGCTGGAGATGGGCGCGCGCTTGGCGCTAAGTTGTTGTGCGCGACCGTCGAGCCCAGCCCTTCCGTTCCACGCAGAGTGAAAGAGATGTGAAAAAGGTGAAGGCTCTTGGGGGCCCCTGAGGCCCTGTGGCTCGGACCCTTCTGGTCTGAGCCCCTCTTTCAGTCTCTGTTGGTAGAGAGCTTATGTGCATATATATATATATATATATAGAATGTAAATATATACGGTTTGTCTGTACTGACAAACCATGTACGCACATACATATATATTTGTATATATATGGGTCCTGCCGTATCCCCGCCCCCCTGACAAACTGAGCAGAGGGGGCCGATTGTCCAGGGTCCTCTTCCTCCTCGTCCTCCTCCTGCTCCTCCTCCTCCTCCTCCTCCTCCTTCTCCTCCTCCTCCTCCTCCCAATCAGATTCCCCTATCGAAGGCGGAATCAAGCAAAACCATAGGAAACCCTCGTCGTCGTCGTCGTCGTCGTCGTCGTCGTCTTCCTCCTCTGTCTTGCCATTGTTCTGAAGAGAGTCTGCATCCGTGGCATCCAGGCAAGGGGCGAGCGAAAAACAACAACTGCAAGGAAAAGCCAACAAAACCTAAGGAAAAACCGACAAAAAAACAAAGAAATCAAAGGCAGACCACCGAAAAACCAAACAAAACCAATGAAAAACCAAAAAAAACAAAAACAACACAAAGATTTCAATACTTTCTCTTGGGGGCGCGGGGGTGGACGAAGCACTGAAATCTTTGTTTTTTTGTTTTTTTGTTTTTCCTTCGTTTTTTTTTTTTGTTTTTTCGGTGGTCTGCCTTTGATTTCTTTGTTTTTTCTTGTTGTTCCTTTGGTTTCTTTTGGTTTTCACCCCCCTCCGCCAGGCCCCCGTGGGGGGCGGACGGCTCCGGACGCTCCCAGGAGGCCCCAGGACACCCCTGGAGGCACCAGAGAGGCACCAGGGAGGCCCCAGAGATGTCCCAGAGACGCTCCTGCAGAGGACCCAAAAGGGAACCCAGCAAGGGACCCAGGAGGAGACCCAGGAGGGAACCCAGGAAGGGACCCAGGAGGGAACCCACGAGGGTACCCAGGAGAGAACCCAGGAGGGGACCCAAGAAGGAACCCAGGAGGGGACCCAAAAGGGAACCCAGCAAGGGACCCAGGAGGAGACCCAGGAGGGAACCCAGGAAGGGACCCAGGAGGGAACCCACGAGGGTACCCAGGAGAGAACCCAGGAGGGGACCCAAGAAGGAACCCAGGAGGGGACCCAGGAGGGAACCCAGGAATGGACCCAGGAGGGAACCCAAAAAACAGGTTACCATCACTGTGCCCGAACACAAGGCCACATGGTTGCACGCCTGTTACGCAAGGACACCGGCAACGGCTCAGCATCAGTGGTGATACCACACAACAAACCAAAACTTCGACACTGCAAAACGCTTCCATGGCGTTACTCTGGAGGGCATCCGAAAAACGGATGCCCCTCCGTGGCGGACGCGGACCCAGGAGGGAACCCAAAAAACGGGTTCCCATCACTGTGCTCGAACACAAGGCCACATGGCCGCACGCTTGTTACGCAAGGACACCAGCAACGGCTCAGCATCAGTGGTGATACCACACAACAAACCAAAACTTCGACACTGCAAAGCGCTTCCATGGCGCTACTCTGGAGGGGCATCCCAAAAAACGGATGCCCCTCTGTGGCGGACGCGGAGCTACGCCGAGAGGAGCGAACGGCACTAGCTCGTAGCTGTTTGGGCTCGACCGCAAAGCTCTCGCCGCGTCTCGGCCGCCCGCCGCGCCGCCTCGACTCGCTATGGCCATGTGCGAGGACATCAAGGAGCGCGTCGAGGGGTACTTCTTGCGCGCACTCTCGGCGCCGCTGGTCACCCCGACAACTCCCACGGGGATCACGGCTGACATTCTGGACGAGTTCACCAAGGAAGTGACGCCGCAGGACAACGCTTTGGCACACTACATCGACTTAGTTGTGAACCACGCGGACGCCGCCCCAGCCAACTTGGATGAACTCTACAAGAAAGCGTCCGAGAACAACGACTGGAGCGGCCTCCCAGCGCCGCACGGTTTCAAGAGCCCGCCCCCGCCAGAAACTCAGCTCCAGTTCGCTATTTTGGACGGCCAGGACGGCGCCAAAACAATCATCAAGCACATCGTCCTTAAGAGCCCCGAACGTAAGATGAAGTTCGCGCCCTTCAAGGAGTTGGCCTATGGGACGCCGCGGAGGCTGGTTTTCGTGCACCCGAAGATCGGCGCGAAGGTCTGGCAATACGTGTTTGAAGACTTTGGCGGCAAACAGTTTCGCCAATTCTTCCTCTCGCCCGAAGCCAAGGCGAAGGCCACCCATAACGCTTTTTATGAGAAGAGCGACGATGAGATCAACGCTGGCTTCGACTACATCATCAACGAGGCCCCGAAGTCCACGGTGGGCTTGCAGCAGGCGCGCTGGCAGACGATCGCAATGAGGGCAGGGGTGCCATCCACGGATGGCCCATCGGCCTCGTTGAGAAGTCCTTGCGCTCCTTGGCGGCGGAGGGCGCTCTGGCGAAGAAGGAGCTCGGTAACATCGTGACCCTTTGCGATGAGCACTTCAACCTTCGCGTTCTCAATGCCCTGGCGGATCTCATCAGCAGCTGCCACTCGCTTGTCCTCACTGGGGAGCCCAATGTCGGCAAGACACCGCTCGGGCGCGCGTTCTCGATGGCAATGTGCCGCAGGAACGCGAGGGCAAACGGGTTGGACCCCGCGCGCTGCCCCATCCGCGTGGCGCTTGAGATCGACTCCCTACGCGGCGAGCCAGGCGACATTCTGATGGGGGATTTCGTTGACGACGGGTGCTCGAACCTCCTCCCGCCGAAGATAGTGAAGGCTCTGCTGGACGCCGGCCAGTGCGAGAGCATGTGCTGGGCCAGGTGGGGCGCGACAAAATGGAAGAAGGGCGAGCCTCGGTGCATGGCCGACCAGACATGCGACCCGAATGTTGAGAAGCTAGACCGCTGGCCCTCCGTGACGTTCAAGGAGTTCTTCGAGCTCGCGCGCCCTGCCTTCCACGAGAAAGCCACCCGCGCTTGCATGTTGGTTTTCTTCAAGCGCGCTGCGTTCCTCGTGAACACGCAGGAATATCCACACTGGCGCCCGCCAGGCACCGAGGAGAAGGACGTGCAGCGCATCCACTTCAAGGGGGAAACCTTTCTGACAGACGAGGGGAAGCGCCTGTGCCAGCTGCAGGAGGACGGCGACATGACGCCGCCCGACAACTTCGATCAGCTCTTGGAGAAGGAGCGGCTCCTCGTTGATTCCGCAGTGGAGAAGAACCGCAAAAAGTCCTCGGACGCGGCCGTCGGTGCTTTGCCAGCCCCTGCGATCGCCCAGGTTTCGGGGTTCAAAGATGAGGTGCCGAGGGGCGTGGCCCTATGGGCGAGGGGGCGCTTCGAAGCGATTCACTTGCTGAAACCCTTCCTCGTCCTTAGGGGCGCGCCCCCACCTGGGCCCCACTTTTGAGCTCCCGACAGGTCAAGCGGGAGCCCGTGTCCCCTGAGCGCCTGATGTTTCGGAAGCGTCTGCTCTCGGGGATGACGATCAACGTTGATAGCCCGTCCCCCGCCAAGCAGCATGCCGCGGCGTCGTCCTCTGCAGCGAGGCCCTCTGCGCCGCCCCGCGGCGAGCTCGACGTCCAGCTCTCGCAGATGTTGGGCGCCGACGGCGTGGAGGTGCCCCTG